CCCCAAAACCCCAAAACCCCAGGATGCATTCAATTTAAAAATAAGTAAAAATTTAATTACCTTGAGGAAAAAAATCAAAGTTTTTATCACTCAGATATTTTAGCAGTTGTTGTTTTTTTCTTAACCTAAAAGACTTCCATATCATTTATTACAAAACTAGCTTATCCAGCAAGATATTTTTTTGCATCAACGCTTCCATATGTCAAGCTCTCAGGTAAATAGTAATTGTTACCAAGATTGCATATTCCTCGACCAGCTCCTGAAGGACTATCCCAAACTTCAAGATCCGCAGCTTCTTATGGCTCCCTCTCAGTTTTACCGAAACATGCAAGATGATAATCACTAGAATAAATAATATAAAATTGGTAATTGCTTACCTTCTAGCCACAGCTTTGTCAGGATTTTTAATCAAAGGGTGTTTTGTCTTGTGCGGAAATAATTAGAATAAGAAAGCATCAGGATCCTTTTCAAATGTCGGATATTTTCCATTAGGAGTGTGCTATTTGACATTGGTAAATCCTCCAAAGACGAAGTTTGAACCTACTTTGAATACTGTTAAAGTAACACCCTTATTATCACACATAAAGTGAAACTTCTAGCTATTCTTTCCGCTTTTAGATGCTCTGTATAGAAGCTTTAGAGAGCAATCATATCCAATCCATTCTTTCATCTATTAAATCTGTTCTGGATTTGTGATTAAAAGAGAGTCTAATTTTTATTCCTCATTTTTATTTGCTGTTGAAGTTTAGAATACTGATAGATTCGGCTTGTATGAAGGAAAGAATTTTTTAATCTAAGATTTCAATTACTTTTTTAGCTGCTCCTAGTCTAAATCTTCATGATTTATCTTTTAATAGAAATCCGCAATTTACATTATACTTGTCACATCTTACTAATTTAGCTGCTCTTTGCTTTTTATTTAATCAAGATTTTGATTAATGGTTTCCTTAATCTTAGGGAAGTTGCTAATTACATCATCACATAAGTCAAGTAGTTTATCTATATCCAGATTTACGATCTTATCCTCATGTGAGTTATGATTAACTACGCAATCTTCGCATAAAAGATCCCCATCATGTTTACAACTAAATTACACTTTCTTATCTTCATGAATTTAGCAGAAGATTTATCTTTTACTGCTAGTTGATTCCATTTGATTCAATAGATTTTTAATTAAAAATTATGAAGATAGATGTTAATCTAACCTTAAGGGGTTTTGGGGTTTTGGGGTTTTGGGGTTTTGAGA